CTGGCAGAGCTGCCTGGTATGCAAGTGTCAAAAGATACAACAAAATAGGATCTCTCACTCTTACACACAGATGTGTGCACACACACGCACAGAGCTGTCTCCAATTCTCTAATGCCTTTTTTTTCCCCTTTAAACTCTAAACTCTGTGTCTTGGGTGATATACAGTAACACCTGCCCAATCAATCCCATTAGGAAAAAAAAAAAAAAAAAAAAAAAAACCAGTTCTGATCTGTTCTCCAGTTTACACAATGAGGACACTGTATTTGCTAAACAAACTAACAGGCTCTTTCAGATTTCTTATTTTCTTCATATAAGAAAAACAATTGCTGGGTGTGGTAGCACACGCCTGTAATCCCAGCACTGGGGAGACTGAGGCAGGAGGATCATTGTGAGTTCGAGACCAGCCTTAGCTACAAAGTGAGCGCAAGGCCAGCCTGAACTGATAGCAAGACCCTGTCTGAAAAAAAAAAAGACAAGAAACAAAAAAAAAACCAAAACCAAATTAAGCTGTAATACCAGCACTCAGGAGGCTGAGGCAGGAGGATCCTTGTAAGTTTGAGGCCAGCCTGGGCTACAAAGTGAGCTCAAAGCCAGCCTGAACTACACAGTGAGACCCTGTCTCAAAAAGACAAAAAAAGAAAGAAAGAAAGAAAATTCTTGGTGAATGAACAATAACATAACTGAGATAAAGACAGAGCCCAAAATACCATAAAATTCACCAATTATAGATTCAGGCAAAGTAGCAGGCCTTCTTTGTGGTCTATATGTCTCTGCAAAGTCAGGATAGGAGTAGAGCTCAGGTGAAATATTAAACATGTTTACTATTTTATTATTTTCTCTGGAGACTGACTTCTCCTGAGTAAAAGGAGGAGAAAAAAGGAAAACAGCATCAAGTGCAGCTGCGGTGTCTCCAGAGTAACACTTTACCAAGCCTCACTTGCATCCATCAGCCTTGAAGAAATGAAATCAGAGACCTTTTTCTGACGTTTACTCTGCTAGTAAATTAGCTTTCACGTTATTTTGTAATATAAGTCAGTGAACAATATCGTTTTAATTTTAAGATCTTACAACTTATAGAAAATACCCATCTGTGGATTAAGCATCCTCCTAAAGGATGAAGGCATGGTCCCTTGAGAGATTAATTTTAATGCTTAAATAATTTAAAAATAAAAATTTACTTAGGTTATAAAACCACAATTACTCTGAAATTCAGTAATGAAATGTTTAAGCTTTAAATATGAAGTTCAATGAAATTTAGTATGACTTTTTTTCTTTTGAGATAAGGTCTCACTCTGTATTCCAGGCTGCCCTTGAAGTCATGTAGCCTAGGCTGGCCTAGAACTCATGGACAATCCTCCTGCCTCAGCCTCCCAAGTGCTGGGATTACAGGTGTGCACCACATCACCAGGTTAACAGGACTTCTTTGAACATAACCTTCAAGAACAGGCCTATACCAGAGAAAATATTAAATACCTTAAGACCACAATAACAAAGCTTTGCTAGTAAACACCTTTACTCATGCCTTCATTCAAATTGATGCTTCTCCCCAGTCAAAGCCAGTAGCACATGCCTGTAATCCTAGCACTGGGGAGGCCAAGGGAAGGAGGACTGATGGGAGCCCAAGGCCAGCCAGGGGTATAGAGTGAATTCGAGGCTATCCTCTACTACAAAATGAGACCCTGCCTCACAAAACAAAACAAAATGAAAAAACAAAAAAATTAAACTCTGGGCATGATGGTGCACACCTGTAAGCCCAGCATTCAGGAGGCTGAGGCAGGAGGATCACCTCAAGTTCAAAGCCAGCCTGTGCTCCACAGGGAGTTCAAGGCCAGCCTAATCTATACAGTGAGACTGTCTCACACACAAAGAACATAATACTAAACTCTTATCTTTATGATTTTCTGTAAATCTATTCTCAAACAAAGTATACTTAAATGTATACACATCGATAATGGTACATATATCTCATAGTTAAGAACACCAAATGTAACTGGACATTGTGGCAATACCCAATATTTATGTATCTGCAATCCTAGCACTGAGAGGCTGATGCAGAAAGATTCCAAATTTGAGGCTCGTCTGGACAACTTAGACCAAAAATTAAAAATAAAGAAGGGCTAGGAACAGGGAAGAAGGGCCAAAGCAGTTATATAACTGAAAAATCCCTGAGAAAGTTAACCCATAATTCCAAAATAGCAAGTAACCAACCTGGTACTACAATCCAGGTTCCATTCAGTTTTCCATAATGTTCTTTCAAAATGGACATAAAGGCTGGGTATGGTGGCACACGCCTGTAATCCCATCACTCAGAAGGCTGGTTGCAAATTCGAGACCAGCGGGCTACAAAATGAGCTCAAGGTCAGCCTGAACTGCATAGCAAGACCCTGTCTCAAAAAGACAAAATAAAATAAAATAAAATAATAAAATAAAATGGACATAAAGGTACATACTCAGAGGAATATGCTAAAGCAAATCATCAGGCTGGGTGTGGTGGCACACACCTGTAATCCCAGCACTCGGAAGGCTGAGGCAGGAGGATCATTGGGAGCTCAAGACCAGCTTGGGCTACATAGTGCAACCTGTCTCAAAAGAACCAAAAAATAAAAAATAAAAAATAAAAAAATTGGGGCTTGGGATTTAGCTCAGCGGCAAAGCACCTGCCTGGCAAGCGCAAGGTCCTGAGATTGATTCCCGGTACCAGAAGAAAAAAAAACAAAAAAAAAAAAAAAAAAAAAAAAAAAAACAACAACAAAAGGGGGCTGGGGATTTAGCTCAGCAGCAAAGCGCCTGCCTGGCAAGCACAAGGTCGTGAGTTTGATTCCTGGTACCGGAAGAAAAACAAAAAAATAAAATAAAAAAGAAGCAAGATTTATCATGTAGAGGTACCAATTCCCTATGATGAAATGTTATT